CTGTTTTTATCCCTATTTTTTGTTCTAGTCCTTATCTCTGCTTCACTTCCCCCTAGATAATTTCCCTATGATATAATTTACTACATTAAACCAGTGTTTTGTTTTCAATGATAAGTATATATTTTATGCCATGCGAATTATAGCATTTATCGAAAAGTTTGTGAACAATTTGAATTAAAAGATAGTATAATTTTTCCTTCCTAATTCACATACCATAAAACCTACTCTTTCAATGTATGTAATTTGCTTTTTATGCACCCTCAAAGTTAGCTAGAGTTTTGCTTTAGGAAATATTTTTAAAATAACATCTTCCAGTTTCAGAATATTAAACCTGTAGGGTAGTGGTTCTCAACTTTCCTAATGCCGCAACCCTTTAACACAGTTCCTTATGTTGTGGTGACCCCTAACCATAAAATTATTTCCGTTGCTACTTCATGACTGTAATTTTGCTATTGTTATGAATCGAGTGACCCCTGTTAAAGGGTCATTTGACCCCCAAAGGGGTCACGACCCACAGGTTGAGAACCACTGCTGTAAGGCATAGTACAAAGGATTATTCATTTCCAATTTCAAATTGTAGGAGCAATGTGATACTTCTGTAGTTCTGGTATTGGAATGTGCAACTCTGAGATTTTGCTTAGGAATGTAGCTGCTTTTAGTGAAATTGCCATCCCTAGCTGCCCATCTCTACCTGGATTCTATAACAGCCAGGCTGTATTGTCATTCTTAAAGCCATGGGCATCCTTTCTTTAAAAATTAAGACATATTCTTTGACCTAGGAATTCTATTTTTAGGAATTTCTCCCAAAGCAATACTCAAGTAAATGTGCAAAGATATGTAAGTAAGATTTTTTTCAGCATATTGCTTATGATTGAAATAACATTGATAGCCAATTATACATCCTTCACTTCAAAACTCATTGCCATCAAGTTGCTTCTGACTCATAGTGACCGTAGAGAACCAGGGTTAGAACTGCCTCTGGGTTTCTGAAACATAACTTTTTTTCTGAGACTATCACCCTTTATGGGAGTAGAAAGCCCTTCTTTCTCCCACAGAGCTAGCTGCTGGTTTAGAACTGCTGGCCTTGTGGTTAGCACCTCAACAAATAAGTACTCTGCTAACAGGGTGTCTATATCCTTCACTAGCATTATTAAGTGTTATAAACACTGAACCTCTATTGAGAAGGTTGATGATAATTGTTATTATCAAAGGAAGTTGTGAAGTATAAAGTGAAAAAGGCAGAGTAAGGTTATGAAAGTTTGTGATCTGGCTAAGATGAGATCACGAAAAATACAGTAAGTGTTTTGTGGGGAAATCTATAAGAAACACAGTTTTTATTTCTATGTGAGGGGCTTGAAGGATGTTTTTTTTCTTTACTACTTTCTTGTATATTTTATAGTAAATATTTCTGGCAACTAAAGGAGGAGAAAGAAAAGGTTGAGGAATATTAGAAAGTGGCTAAAATTACTTGGAAATGAATTTATTTGGTGTTCAGCTTAGTGCTGTTGCATACTTGTATATGTTGAACTTAGTTGAATCCAAAGCCAAGTCTGCAGAAGACTAGCTCGTGTCCTCTTTTTCTTTCAGAGTAATGTGCTGAAGTTTTCTTCTTTGCCTTGGTATGTTTGAGAATTAGGGCCCACAAATGTCAAGAGATACAGTACATCAACTTCTTATAGCTCCTTGGCATTTCAGTGTACCAATATAGTTTCCTATATCTGTTTTTACAGATTATGTCCAATAGGCAATGATAATTTAACTCTGAATGATACCAAGAGCTTTGCTAATATTTGCTATTGCTGGTAGTGTTACTACAAAGCGCTTTTTTAAATAATTGTATTACCTTTTAAAATTGCCTAACAGTCGCAGCAAATACAGTATTCCCCCAAAGGCTTTCAGGACCATTGTGAATATCAACTTTGAAATATTCACCCTGCATGATGTAGGTCTAGAAAACTAATAGTAATGTAGTATGAAATTACTATCCCACAATATAATATCATTGACAGGATTTGTATCCCATTTATTGGGATGCTTCCTTGATCACTTTCTTTGGTCTATTATTGGGCTAATTGTAGAAACTTTATACAGTAATTATTTTAGTGCTTGTAATTTGGGGGGGGGTGCATTTTGACATTTTTAAAACTTAATTGGTTTGACTTCTTTTTGCTTCTTTTAATTTTCATTTATTAATTGATTTTAATCTAACTAGTTCTTTGTTTTTGTTTTTCAACTATTCTACCTTTTGAGTCAATTCTGACTCATATCAACCCTACAGGACAGGGTAGAAACTGCCCCTGTGGGCTTCTGAGACTGTAACTCTTTACGGCACTACAAAGCTTTGTCTTTCATACCCAGTGGTAGATATTTCCTAAAGTACAATCGTTATAACTACTTTCCCTCATCCTCATTCAGTTATTCCAAGGACATTTCTTCTGTAAGATAAGCACAGTACCTTCAATTGTCTGCTAGACATATCTTCTTGGTTAACTTGTTATCATCTAGAATTTCTCATGTATGAAACTAACCCTACCTTTCCCCCCAAATGAATGCCCCTTCTTTATAATAAATGGTAGCTTCTTAAAAATGAATGTTGCTGTTATCCTGGTCCTTTGCTTTAAAAACTTAAAGAGATTCCTTGGACTCCTAAATCCAGTATTGCCCAAGCCTTCTCCATTTGTCTGAAATCTCTCTTTTAGTCTTCCATTGTAGAAACAGCCTTCCAGTGTACCTACTGCCTCATGTCTAGTTTCAGTGTCCTGGTTCCATAAGATTTTCCTAATGCTATTTTTATCTTTGGTTCTAAAGCTAGTATCCTTCTCTGTGGTCTGCATATAAAATTCAAACTTTTTTGACTCTCAAGATTTTCATCATCAGATTCTCCTTTTCTTACCCGACTTATTTTTCTATTGCTTTAAAACATTCAGTACCTTTGTAATACTGGTCTTCCCATGGTCACATTTGCATCATCTCAACCTCAGGTGATAAACAGGTATAGTCTGAAAAATTATCAGAGAAAGATGATTCTGATACCTTACATTCCTCTGGGGGTAGAGGTTGGGAGAGAGCCGTTCTTCCTAATAGCCATAGGTAATGTGGGAAAAACAATTATATAAACAAATAACTAAACACAATGTAATGTGTTAAGTGCTATAGTAGAGTTAGAAAGTGCTACAGAACTCTTCCTACAGCCTTTATTGCTTATTCAAATTCTTCTTGTCACCTCACAATTCAGTTTTCCTCTTACCAGTATACTGTTGCCCCTAAGCCCTTATTCCCTAAATTACAGATTGAGTTGTACAGTAGCATGTTGCTGTGAGACTACGTTTTGAAATTCAAGGCTATTCACAATCAAAATCTGCTCTGCTCTTGGACCACTACATTCTTCTTCATCAAAATAGAGCTCTTTCTGTGTTCTGGTCTGGCATTGAGGGAAACGGCAGTGCATTAGCTAGGCATGGTCCCTGCCTTAGTGTGGCTTATAGGCTAATGGAGTAGTTAAACGTCATAATGCACGTAACTGATTATGTGCGATTAAGTAAAAGTACCTAACCCAATTTTACTCACACACCCTGCTGTTAAGCAATTTCATCTGTGTTTTCCTACTTCCTTAAGTATTAGAACACATTCCAATACCTTTTTTAACTATATAAATAAAGTGATTTCTGTAAAGTTCTTAATAAATGTTTATTGTATTATTCATGCTAAGTTAAGCATGGTAGACCCCAAACCAAACTCACTGCCAGCGTGTTGTATCTGACTAATAGTGACCTTTATAAACACCACTGTGGATTTCCAAAGCTATAAATCTTTATACAAGCAGAGAACCTTATCTTTTTCCTGAAGTGTGACTAGTGGGTTTAAACTGCTGACCTTGCAGTTATAGCGCAACACATAACCAACTACCCCTCCAGGTTCCTTGTATGGTAGACAGTAGCTAGAAAAAATTGTAGTTCTTTGAGGTCTTGTATACTTGCTAGTAGTGTAAGTCAGACTATAATTAATGAAAGCCTGTGGGATAGTGCTTTTCAGTCTATATTGTAGCATTCTGTTCTTGTACTATTTACCACAAAATGTCTGTTCACCTGATGAAGTTATTTAATGAATGCCAGTAATGTTTTCTAATTGTCCAAAGCTTTATTTCTGTACTGATGATTGGTGAATGATCAAAATGTACTCCAGTGGGTAGATAACTCACTCAACTTCTTTTATTTCTGTCTAGATTTTTTATCCAGAAACTACAGATATTTATGATCGAAAGAATATGCCAAGATGCATCTACTGTATCCATGCACTCAGGTAATCAGATTTTCTTAATGAAATATGGCTTAGAAATAGCATTTAAATTGTGGAACTTTTTACTTATGAGTAGAAGGATTTTCAAATAGGATAGGATCCCGTTACTGTAATAAAATGTCGGGCAATCGCTGTTTTTCTTGGGAGTTTGTGGAGGAGTTATTGAGCTCTGGTGGTAGAGTGGCTACATATTGGGCTGTGATCCGCATGGTTGGTAGTTCGAAACCACCTCCTCAGAAGAAACACTGTTTTTTCTACTTCTGTAACCAGCTACAGTCTCAGAAATAACACATTGTCTACATGGCAGTGAGTTTGGTTTTTTGTTTTATAATAGATAATATCTGTTTACATAAGAATTCTGTGATCTTTATTGATATAATGTTTCTTGGAGCTATCCATTTCACTCAGAATTGTAAATGAAAGAGAAGTGTCTTGAAATTATTGAAATCGAGGGAGGGGGAAAAATGAGGAGCTGATGACAGGGGCTTACATGGAGAGCAAATGTTTTGAGAATGATGAGGGTAATGAATGTACAAATGTGCTTTACACAATTGATGTATGTATGGATTGTGATAAGAGTTGTATGAGCCCCCAATAAAATGATTTTTAAAAATTATTGAAATATCTTTAAAAATGATAACTATATATTTGAAAACCATTATTTACCATTTTGTTTCAAACTTAGAAGCTGAATTATAAAATGAACTTCAATCATTTCTTGATATTCTTTAAAAGTACGATTATATTTTATCACTATCTTCAAATAATGCCAGCAAATACCAGTAGGCTGAGTTACAGTTTTTTAAATCATCGCGGTCCTTCCTGTTATTAAGTCATTTAATATTCATTATACCAAAACAAATATGATAAATAGGCACAACATAGTCAATTTGAAAGAAGACCCAGCTCCAGATCTTTTGCTTTTAAAAACAAGGTAGTAAATTAGAGGGATGAAGTGATGTTGGAGGGAAGCTAGAAGGAACTGGGAAGCTTGTAGGATAGTATTAATAGTGTAATGAATGGTACACATTTAGTTGATGGCCATAAAACTACCGGAGATGTTAAAAGTGAGTAGTAATGATAGAAGATGGGAAAGCGAAAATGAGATTTCTTTCCTTGGGCTCCCATTTTTATGTAACGTCCTATATGTGTATATATTAACCATGCCATTTATATACATCAAGCCATAAGAAACCTGTGGCCTCCAGTTTCTTTGTCAAATGTGTCAGATTCTTGGCAAAACTGGAGTCAGCATGAAACAGAAGAATGAGGACTAGCTGGCTCCTGGCCTGGACTATTGTGTTAACCTCTAAGAAGTTTCCTGCTGTGCTGCTGCCAGAGCAGCTTTCCCAAACAGCTCTGATTGTATCAGACCCTCCATAAAATATTCTGATGGCTCCTTTCCAGTTTCTTGCAGTTTCCTTCCCTGTCTCATCTCCAGCCATTCAGTCCCCCAAGTACTTGAGCTCTGCTGTTTTCACCACACATGCCTGATACTCTTGTACTGTTGACCTTCAGTTATGTTAGTACTTTTACCTGAAATGCCCTTTTTAACTAGTTTAACTCATGCTTTTCTTCAGGCATATAACATGATGTTGGACCAACCATAGTGATAACCTGAAGAAAAAAAAATTTTTTTAAGTATTGAGGATGGCTGATGTCTATGGAAATAGTTAGAATGTAGCAATTTCTAATAAGTGTCTTAGCCAAAGTCAAATTAATTCTGAGTATTTTGATTGGCTTAGTGATGCATGAGGTCTTCTATGTTGATAACCTTGTGGAGGTTGTACCTACAATGGATACCTGAATTTGGCAGGCACAGTGGCTAAGCTGGCAGAATATCTCTCTGCTAGTGGTCCCTAGGCTCTCAAATTCTCTCAGAGATGAAGAATTAACTGTGCTTTTGCAAGAATGGAGTCAGAAGAGAATGAGAAGAAGTCAGTTTGCTATTATTTTCTATTTCTTTTGAGTATGCTGTCTATGCTTAGAGAGTATTATAAAGAACAGTGTGCCTTGTTAGGTAATTTAGGGTTTCCTTACTCTCTTATAGTGTATTTCTTTTCTAAAAGGTGGGTTAGCAACACCTCATAATACTTAGATGTAAAAAGCATTGATAACTGTGTTCAGAACCTCTTTTACTAGAAAACACAACAGTGTTCAAGGAAGGGTTTCTATTGAATGAAGGACCATCTCTCTCTTTTGGATCAGCAGTGATAGGAAAGCATTGTAGCCTTCATTTTCTCCCCTCTTGTACCTTCCCATTTTAAAATCTTGACCGGAGTTTTTCCAGAAGTTGTTAAGTCACCTCAGTCATACTAAATTATACTTGTGGATTTGCATTCCACAGATAAGATACCAGCCTGTCATTCTGTGTATATTTGCAAACTTTCTTTCCCCTGCTCTTTTATCTTTCTAAGAATAGATTTTGGGCTGAGTACGTCCTTAATCTCCTATCCTTAATTTAGAAAGCCTCAAAGCTCTGACAATTGAATGAGTTTGGTTCAAACTCATTTGCTGGCAAAATCTGATTCGAATGAATGTGGTTATTATAATCTGTATTTATCTATTTATATGATGATTTGTTTCTCTGAAGAAAAGTAATATAATTGATTAGTGATGCTGGGGATGTTTTAGAACACTGGATACATTATACAATTTTTCTAAGATCTGAGAATTCGAATTATAAGCATTTCTGGCATGTAGAATTTAAAGAATGGTGGACCTGTGTTAGATACTGCTTAGAATCAAGTGCCGGATGTAAACTTTTACTAATAATCTTGGAGATTAGCTAGTGACTTCCTCGGCCATCAGCAAAGGTCATTGGAATCCAGATAAGCTAGCACCGCTTCCTTCTCAGCACAGCTTCCTTCTCTGCACAGCTGTAAAGTACAGCTGAAAAAGGAGCAAAGAAAATACCGTCTGATCTCATTGAGGCCTGACCCCTTGTAGGCACATAACAACTTAATTGTAAAAGTGGGCCTGGGCGAGCAAGAACAAAGACCACAAGGAATGTTTATTTACCCTTAGGATTTTCACTTCTCAGGTTTGAGGTCAAGTGCTTTTGGTTCTCAGTAAGAGGATCTAAATAGTGGCTATTATGATTCCACACATAGCTATATTATTTCCTAAAAATACTCCAAATAACTCTTAAAAAGGAGAGCAAAGAAATAGGTGCCCATATATTTATTACCTTCCCTTACTGTTTTCAGCAGCCAGGTGGTATCCTTGAAAAACAAAACAAAAAACATTGCCATCAAGTCTTTCCTGACTCATAACTATCCTATATAGCAATTTTGAGGTTATGACTCTTTTTACTGATTTAGTGCAGCTGAAGCCTATTAATCAAAAAATAAAGGGACAATGCACAGAGATGACCATAGGGCCAGCCCCACCATGGGACATGATGTGTCTCACTGAACCATAGTGCTACGGGGAACAACACTAGAGACACAGTGCAGGAATTGTGCCCAATCTGACCCCATCACACTGGGGCAAAACACCAAGGGCATGCCACAGAGCAGCAACGGGAGCAAAGCGATGAAATCCCCAGGGAATACCAAAAGTAGAATTTGGAGACAGAGTGTGGCACCCCATCAGACTTGATTAGAAAACACTCCTAAAGGTCAAAAAACAGACCTGGAACGATTTGCAGGCTTTTCCTTTTTTGTCTTTGGCTTTCTTTTTGTTGTTATTTTGTTTTTGTTTTTTGTTGAAGTTATTGTTTTGGTTTTTTGTTTTGTTTGGCTTTGCCTAGTTTTTGCACTTATTAATGTCTCTGCATGTCTATCTAGATAAGATAGGCAGGATAAACAATTTGGAGATGAAAACAGTGGAACCGATGGTTCTGGGGGGATATAGGAAAAGGGGAAGTGGGAGAAAGGAAGAGGGGTGTCAACCAACCCAGGGACAAGGGAACTACAAGTGAACTAAAATCAACGGAGAGAAGAGCGTAGGATGCCTAGTAGGGCTTAAAATCGAGGGCAATGTAACAGTGAGGAATTACTAAACCTGAATGAAGGCTGAACATGATGGTGGGACAAGAAGAAAGTAAAAGGAAATAGGAAAGAGCCAGGAGGCAAAGGACATTTATAGAGGTCTAAATACAGGCATGTACATATATAAATATATATATAATGAGAGGGAAATAAATCTATATACTTGTATCTATATGTTAAAAATTAAGGTAGCAGATGAACAATGGGCCTCAACACAAGAACACTTTGTTCTAATAATCCGGCGTTCTGTGATGCTCATCTTCCTGACATGATCGCTGAGGACAAAATGGGTGTTTAAGCAAATATGGTAAAGAAAGCTGATGGTGCCCGGCTATCAAAAGATATAGCATCTGGGGTCTTAAAGGCTTGAAGATAGACAAGCAACCGTGTAGCGGAGATGCAACAAAGCCCACATGGAAGAAACACCAACCTGTAGAGATCATGAGGTGTCAATGGGATAAGGTATCAGGCATCTAAAACACAGAACAAGATCATACCAATGTGAATGGGGAGGTGGAAGGGTGGGGCGCATGAGGAGTAAAGACCCAAAGCCCATCTGTTGACAATTGGACATCCCCTCATAGAAGGGTCACAAGAAAGAGATAGCCAGCCAGGTGCGTGCAGTATAGCACCGATGAAGCATACAACTTACCTCTAGTTCTTTAATGCTTACCCCCCCACCCCCCACCCCACTATTATCACCTCAAGTAGGCCTTACAAATTGGATTAGATCAGAACATGCACACTGCTACAGATAAGAGCCCCGAAACACAGGGAATCCAGGATAGATAACACAGGGAATCCAGGATAGATAACCCTCAGGGCCAACAATGAGAATATAGATACCAGGAGGATAAGGGGTAGGTGTTTGGAGAAAAAGGGAATTGATCACAAGGATCAGCATGTAAATCCCTCCCAGGGGGTTGAACAACAGAAAAGTGGGTGATGGGTGACAGAGGACAATGTAAGAAATGAAAATAATAATAATCTATGTTATCAAGTGTTCATGAGGGAGTGGGGAAAAGATGAGGAGCTGATATCAAGGGCTCAAGTAGAAAGAAAATGCTTTGAAAATGATGATGGCAACATATGTACAAATGTGCTTGACACACTGGATGAATGTATGGATTGTGATAAGAAATGTAAGTGCCCCCAATAAAAGTAAATGATAAAAAATAAAAATGAAAAAAAAGGGAATGCATTATATTTACAAAGATTAGTAGCTATTTTGCTTTGGAATATTTCTTGAATAGGTTTAAAACCTTCTGAGAGGTGAAGTTTATATAGTTTCATATTGATTTTTTCTTGGAAAATAAGTAGCGCTCATGGATGTATAAATTCAACTAAATTTGGTCAACTGTTTAGATCATTCTTTTGAGCTTGCTAATAAATTTTAAGCACTGGTCTGTTCTGTGACTATAACGTGTTCTGAATATCTATATTTAGATGATAGTAAGGTTTATAGGTGATTTATATGAACTATAGACACCGATTTTCTGGGATTTCTTTCTAATAATGTATGTCTGTATTTCTTCTCTTGTTAGACTTTCAGTGTCTTGCTAATGTCAGCGTCTGTAAAGTGATCCCTTCTTACTGATTCTGATTGGCTAAGGACCTTAAATCAGATACCCTAACTCAGATTTACAGATGATCGCTTGTCCATGGTTGTCGTGTGAGCCATTAAGTTGATTCTGACTTGGTCTGTATGACCCAGTAAAATGGCCCTAGCTTTCCTAGGCTCTAGTCTTTATGGAGCCCTAGTGGTATAGGGCTACCATAGGTCAGCAGTTCAAAACCACCAGCCTCTCTGGGGGAGGAAGATGAGACTGTAACTCCTATAAAGTTTTACAGTTTCAGAAACACAGAGAGGCAGTTTTAGCCTGTTCTGTAGGGCCCCTGTGGGTAGGAATAAACGTGATGGTGGTGAGGTTTTGAGACTCCTTTTTGGGAGTGAAGGCTTAGTAGAGGGGCCCTGGTGCTGCAGTGAGTGGCTAAAGCATTTAACAAACCTGAAAGTCAGCAGTTTGGGCCTGCCAGCCTTTGTGGATAAAGAATGTGTTGGCCTTCTATAAAGATTTAGAAATCCAATGAGACAGTTCCGCTGTGCCGTATAATGTTGCTATGAGTTGGACTCTGCTTGATTGCTGTGGGTTTGGTTTGGTTTCAATCTTTGTAGGGGCAGATCACCAGGTGTAATGGTTTCAAACGTCCAACCTTGTGATTAGCAGCAAAACGCTTAACCATTGCACCACCAACACTCCTTGAAATAATTGTTTAATAGTTATTAATATATGCTAGACTCTGGGTAGACATTGACGACAAGAGCATATTGCCTCTGCTTTAATGAAGCTTTAGAGTCTAGTAGATTGTTTTCTTTTTAATTAAAAAGGTAAAAATATGTAATGTAAGTTTTATTTAAAACTCCTTAGCTACCTGGATTCAGTTTTCCAGATAAATAAAGATTCAGTTTAAATAAGATTTGCTATCTGAGTTGTTTTTGGGAGACTTTCCCAAAATGCCTTGTTACTTAAAAATTACTGATTACAGCAAAGTAAACAGAGAATTGAAGACATTTCACCAATATTAATTATATTAACGTTAATTAACATCTAATTGTGCAGGGTCTAGGACATGGATTTGTATCAATTGATTCTGAGTCCAGTGCTTTCATTGTATAACTTTTTAGGACAGTGTTCTTGTGTAAAAAACTAAAAATAGCTCTGAAATATTGTACCTGCAAAAGGAAATATTAAAGGATATTGGGAGCACAGTATTCAGAATGCTTCTATTATATTATTTTTGTTGCCGTCCTCTTTTAACATAAGAGGAGTAGGTAGATATAACTGGGAGGCCTAATTACTGTGTATATTATGTTTTCTAGTTTGTACCTGTTCAAACTTGGCCTGGCTCCTCAGATTCAAGACCTGTATGGAAAGGTTGACTTCACAGGTAAGGTGTTAAGAACTTGGCAGGAAATGTTTGATTTCTGTAGAAAAGGCCTCGAGAAGCAATAGTACTTATTTTAAAGAACTAAGGCTTTAAAAACACTGGCAATAGAGATGAAAGAAGAATAAAATAACTTCCTCCTCACTGTGTAATGGAAAGAACGTTGAACTTGGAATTTCAGGCTTCATTTCTCCTATGTCAATTGGATATGATCTTAACATCAACATTAAATGTTCATATATCGTGAAAAAGCTTTGTCAGCAGTCCTTCTACCCTTCCAGCATCAATTGGTATGCAAAGCCAGGGGTATGTGTGAGAGACTGAGGTCTTGCAAGGTGACAGTTTAGAAATTGCTCTCACTAGATGCTTCTGTTTCTCTAACCTTATAATAGTAAAGGAAGAAGAAGGGAGCTTAGGGAGACAAAAGACACTGGCATTTTTGGTTAGGAGGAATATAGATGCAAATCTTGTGAACTAGTTATTACCGTGTAAGTTTGAGAGTTTTAAGAAATTTATAATAACGTTTTAATTTTAAAATTTCCTAATTTAAGCTAATTTTTATTTGGGTGACAATATACACAACAGAACACATACACACATTCATCAGTTTATACAGGTACATCGCAATCAAATCGGTTTCATTTTTCACTCTGTGTCACAATTCCCACCATTGCTGCCCTTATTATTTTACCACCATGGACTTCTCCTCACTGCCCCCTAAACTTCCCATCCATGCAGAACTTTCATTTATGATGTTCTTCATCAGACCTAGGGCAAGGGGCAAACCTTACACATTGTTTTCTCTTCTCTTTTGGCTTTCTGCCCTAGAAATGGAATTGTTTAAAGCAGCTAGTGATTTGATTAAAAAGCCCAAGATAGCTAACTGGTCTGTGATACCCTTGTGTTTGAGCTCCATTCAGACATTCTTTGTAGGAAATGCCATAAGTTGCCATTTTGGAAAACTGTTTCCTGAGAGACTGTTCTCTTGTTATGGTTATTTTTGGTGCCCTGGCTTGAGTGGGTTGTAATTCTTTCTTGTAGAAGAAGAAATTAACAACATGAAGATTGAACTGGAGAAGTATGGAATCCAGATGCCTGCCTTCAGCAAGATCGGGGGCATCCTGGCTAATGAACTCTCCGTGGATGAAGCTGCATGTAAGCAAAGGACAATTTTGTGGGTTCAAATAGGACAGTTACTCCTACTTCCAATAATTATATTATAGTGATGATATTGGACAGTAAGAATTTTGCTAGCAAGTTTAAGTCAATAGATAAGATTTTAAGTACTGCTGTAACCTCTGCTATTATGATTTAGAAGTAATTGATTTTTATTTTAAAAGGGTATTTAGAAATGAATCCTCTATTATTTCAGTGCCTTTTTGAATCTCTTAATTTTTATGTTGACTGATAATTAAATTTTGGAAATTTCCACAACAAAGTATCTTATGAATCCTTGTGAGATTCCAAATTTGCGGTCCCAAACAGGGATGGAGCCATCATAAAGAGTAGACCAGTTTTAGTAGGAACCAGTGAACCTTTTCTCTAACCCCAAACTTTCTTTCTGTAAGGGAATGTCTCTCTGTAGTAGAGAAGTTACTGTTTTGCTTTATTTGTGCAATGTATAGTCTTTCCCTAACCCCAGTATTCTATACTTTGGTTTTTGTTTTGTTTGTTTTTTAGTACATGCTGCTGTCATTGCTATTAATGAAGCTATTGACCATCAAGTTCCAACCGACACCTTTGCAGCTCTGAAAAACCCCAACGCCATGCTTATAAATCTTGAAGAAGCCTTGTCTTCCACTTACCAGGATGTGCTCTACCAAGCCAAGCAGGACAAAATGACAAATGCTAAAAACAGGGTAAAGATGCAATGTATGTTTTTTCTGATTGCTTGATATCACTACATTTTTAAAGCTTGCTTTATTGAGGTATATCTACATACCACAAAATTCACCCATTTTAAGTACAGTACTATACACAATCGGTACCGTCATCCTCAGAAGTTCCCTGTTGCCCCTTTTCATTCTATCTTTACCTCCTCCCAATCCCCTGACTGTGGCCCCAGCCCCAAGTAGCTACCATTCTGATTGCTCTCATAAGCATTTCTTTTTGTTTGTTTTTAGCATTTCTTTTTCCTGGAATTTCATATATGGTAGGAATCTTTGGGTATTAGACATCATTTTGATTTAACTTTCTTCATGAAATTTATGCAAATAAAGCTCTCGAGTGTGACGTTAAAAAGAGCAATGACTCTCTGGAGCTGCTGAGGCTGGAAGAACTCCTGAAACTATTGCCAAGATCATCTTTAAACCTTGAACCAAAAGTATCTTCTGAAATCTTTCTTAAATCCCATACTAGGTTATCTGAATTAGTCAGGAATGCCAACCTTGAACATTGTGCTCTTTTAAAGAACTGTATGGAATCAAACTGGAAACAGAAGTTGAAAGGTTAGCTAGGAAGCTTAGGGAGCAGTGGGTTACCAGGAGAGGAACAGTTCGGAAAAAGGCTAGAATGGTCGCACAACCTGAAGAATGTAGTCAATGTCACTGGATTGTGCATGTGGAAATTGAATTGGCGAGTGTTTTGTGTATTTTCAACAGCAATAATAAAAATCAATTTTTAAAAATTAAGAGCCCCATTTTAAAAGGTACCGTAGCCTGTCTCCTTTCCCATCTGCTTTGAGGTGAAATATTCTTGGATAGGAAAGGAGATGGTGAGATTCTTAGCTCCAGTTATTCAAATCAGAATCATTCAACCAAAGTTCTCATACCTTTAGTGGTGAAGTGTTTACATGTTGGGCTGCAATCCAAAAGATCTGAAGTTTGAAGCCACCAGGCATTCCAAGGGAGAAAGATAGGGCTTTCTACTTCCATAAAGAGTTAGAGTCGGAAACTCACAGGTACAGTTCTACCCTGCCCTGTAGAGTTGCTATTAATCAGAATTTACTGCACAGCAGTTTTGGGGGTTCCCCCCCCCCATATCCATAAGGAGCTAAGAATCTCAAATAATCTCATGAACTTATTTATTCATCCTTTGTTGAAATTACTGTTTGAAATGTGTCCAGAGGGTGAGAAAACAAAGGCAACTTGACTGTCAGCATCATCTTCCTAGCTCTCATTAGAGTAGGAATCACAAATCCAAGATAGGTGCCAAACTGTCATGCCAGCAATTAGCTGCTGCCATGCCCCTGCCAGCTACCCCCAATGTGAGGCTGTGAAAAAGGTGACACGAGTGTTCTTCCTGCTCATTGTGAGGCCAGATGCAGGTCCTTAGCCCCAGCTGCCTCACAGGTAAGCAGCCAGGACCCATTCAGCACGGCTTCTCCTGCCCAGTTCCATGAGAGCAGCCCCTGTGCTTGTCCTTAAACAGGTGGATCTGCATCTGTTTTTTTAAGTTATAGTCATACAGTGTTCCCTGTGTTCTTTCTAAAGTCCTTGACATCTCTTGGTTCTATTTGGAGGAGGGAAGAGCATCCATGATGTCTTTGGTCTTCTTGGACACCTGAGCAAATTTATTTTCTCTTTCTGTTCAGACGGAGAACTCAGAGAGAGAGAGGGATGTTTATGAGGAACTGCTCACGCAGGCCGAAATCCAAGGCAATATAAACAAAGTCAACGGTGAGTGTTCTGAGTTGCTCACCCTGGGAGACATGACATTACACCCCAGGACAGTGTGAATGCTGATCTAGTCTTAGACTTATGGCATGGTTTAAGTTTTGATCTTTACTTTTTTTTTTTTTTTTACACATTAGTGCATTTGTTTAGGAGTTACTGCTTCTCACCATCTTTTTGTGCTTGTGTGCCTTCTCGTATTTCAGCTTCCTTTGTCCTCTGCAGACCCTCAACTCATTCTTGCATTTTGCAGTAGATTCCAAACTGCTCATCTTGGCTATAATTTCACTCTTTCACCCTGTGTTACATACTTTTGAGAAATTAATTTCTCAAACATGTCATTTTTATTTTGTGACTTCTGCTAAAGAACCTGCATTGACCCTTTATCACTTGCAGACAAAATATAGATAGATAACTAGCCTAGTGGGAAGGAACCCTGGGTGGTACAGTGTTGTTTTTTTTTTAAACATTCTGCTGCTAACTGAAAGGCCAGCAGTTGAAACCCAGTAGCCACTCCATGGGAGAAAGATGAGACTCTATATTTCTGGAAAGTTTTATGTCTTATAGGGCAGTTCTACTCTGTTCTATAGGGCCACTGTGAGGCAGCATCATCTTTAAGGCACATAGCAGCAACAATAATAGTGTAGGAGAGTTCTTGTGCAGTATTTTATGCATATAACCCTCCATTAGAAACTCATTAACCAAAAAAGAAAAAAGAAAAAACTCATTAACCTAATTGTATTTATTCTGTTCATTTCATAACTCATAAAAATTCAGCTGTGGATTGATGTACACTTGGGTTTCGATCTCTTGTTCTGCAATTAATAGCTGTGTGATATTGGATATCTCAGCTATAGAATTAGGAGAATATGAAATGGTGTATGTAAATTGTCTAGTGTTTAGTAAGTGCTTAATAAACACTAACTGGTATTATTATCTCTGTGTTATCAGGTAATCTCCCCTCTATAATGCCCTCATGCCCTAATTTCTTAATTCAAATTATACCTATTATTGAGGATCCAGCTTAGTCCTCACCCCATTTCCTTGTCCCAGCCCACAGTATACTTCTCTTTCAAGTTTTTTATAAAACTTTTAGGTTGAACCACATTTTACACTTAGTTTTTACATTGTCTTGCATTTCTTACTGTTTCTGACATCTTTATAGATTATTAAAGTAGAGATTACACATTAATTATGCTTCTTTTGAAATGCTCATAATTCCTAGCATAGGGTCAGGCTCACCGGAAAGAACTTATATGATTTTAAACAGTTGGGCCAGGCTTGATCTTGTTTTGCTCATTAATACTGATAATAATTAGTATCATCATGGTTCATTGAGAGATCTTAACTTCTTAGCTGACTTACTTTGAGTAATAAGAGGTTTTCAATGACATGAAACAAAATGCATGAATTACTGAATGTAAAAAGGATTTGTTTTATAAACTTTCACTCAATTCACAATGAAAAGGTAAAAGAGAAAAGGGGGTGATAGGTGGGGAAGTCACAGGATTTTGTTATGGTTTGTAGATGCTTTTGAATCAGTTTTGACTGGTATAAACCCTTCATGAACCCATAGGTGTCCTAGGCTACAATTTCTGGGCTGGTATTATGGGAGTAGCTCACCAGGCTTTTTCACCTGTGGAGCTACAGGTGGTTCTGAACCACTGACCTTTTGGTTAATAGCAGAATTCATAACGCTTGCATCACCACGACTCCTGTTACAAGCTTACAAGAATAAGCTACTGAGTTTTTATACCCTGACCGGGATCCTTTGTATTTTGCTACCTATTATTTGACATAAAAGAATGGCCTTCTGAACAGGCAGTAATTCCATTCACATAAGGGAAACTTGTGCTGTGTCTGGGAGAATACACAAGTCAGCAAATATGAACCTGAAGTGTCCTTTTCTTTAGTTCTCTGCGTGAGAAGAAAGGCCAGCCCATTCCCTGCTGCACAGAGTTCATCAGATACTCCTGTTTTTGTACTAAGGGATTTTTCCTGCTGTCTTCTTTAGGATTCTATAATCTTTATAGCTTTACCTTGCTAATTATGTGAAAATCCATTATAACCTAGCTTCAGCTTAGTTAGAACAAGGTACCAAAGGTGGACAAGGTACAGTCATAAAATAAAAGAAGTAGCAGTGACTTCTTAGAGGTTTTAGCTAGGTTTTCAGGGTATGACCTCTCACTGGGGTTCTCTGAATGGGCAAGGATAAAGCAGAATTCCCCACGAGGGGCATTCTTTTCCCAATTGTGCAGGAGGTCTGAGGCTGAGTAAAGTTGTATACTAGGAAGATAAGGGGACTTGAGGCTTTCTATTCCAATAAAGAGTTACAGTCTGGGAACCCACAGGACCAGTTCTACTCTGTCCTGTGAGGTTGCCAGCAGTCGGCATTGTGTCTATGGCCATGAATTAGTCAGAAACAACCTGACACAGGGGATCTGTCTTGTTTTAGTTTGGGTTAAGTAGTAAGTTTATGCTTCTGGAAAAAACATAAATGACATTTTTGTGGACCCTCAGATTCTGCTGCACATACCTTCAGAAAGCCTGGTTGGTAGCTGGCTTATCTTGTTTATTCTCTGTCCGTCCTTACTAAGCAAGCACTTTATTTGTCTGCTTTTTTTCCTGCCAACTTTTTTGAAGGGGCTTTACAAAGTCTGTGGGAAAACGGACTAGAAAGATATTGGAATTTTTCCATGAAATATTTGAAGCCCCTCATATTTGCAGCTTGTAGCAGGTTTAATCTGGTCTAATCATTACGTTAACATAGTTATATTTTTTAAAAGCGTTTGTCTTTTTCCTCCTCAGCATATTCCGCCTTAGCAAATATCGACCTGGCTTTAGAGCAGGGAGCTGCACTGGCATTGTTCAAGGCCCTGCAGTCACCTGCTCTGGCTCTGCGAGGCCTGGAGCAACAGAACAGTGAGTGGTACTTAAAGCAGCTCCTGAGTGACAAACAGCAGAAGACACAGGTAAAATTACCCTTAAGTTGGACCTGTAAGAGTTTGTGTGCATCCATCTGAACCCGGGCTGTTCCTTAAAGAGATTAATGGGCCCTTCTTACCCAGCGTAATTTTCTTTTGCATATAAATCAGGTAAAGATGACATACACATTGTCTTAAGTTTGAGTTGGTTATAGAGTTGTGCATTCTCATTGAAAACACCCCCACCCCACTCCCCAGCTTAGCCATCCCTTCACTCCACCCACCCACCTCCTGCCCCACGACTAAAAGGCATTGGCAAAAACTTTAATTAAAAAACCTTACCTCCCTACTTTCCTCCAGCCAACACTGGGGAAGTACTTAATGTGCAGTCAGACTACTCTGTGGGATTGCATAGTGTGGTTTTTTTAGAACAAACTAGAAAGGGTTTTATTCTTTATCTAAATAAGGACAGGTATATATCTATATACATTGTTTTTATAAATTCTCAGCATATGTTGGCCAGAGTCAAGCAACATTGGTTCGCTAAAGGTTGTGTAAACATCCTATAGTGAACATTTGGGCACTTTGTAAAGAAATAGTACTGATGTCTGGAATGTCACTCTACTCCAGATTTGGCCCAAGCGTTTGAAAAGCTGTAGCTCAGACTGCCACTCGGCAGTCCGCTTATATCCCTTTGCAATAGGACCCTCGAAAATCTAGGGGCATAAGCAGGAATCGAGTGACAGGAATGTTCTTTGCTTTCCTCAGAGCGGTCAGATTGGGCCCCTGCAGAAGGAGGAGCTGCAGTCTGGAGTGGATGCTGCCAACAGTGCCGCGCAGCAGTATCAGAGAAGTAAGAAGCCTGGTGGCTGGGCGTTTACTTCTAGGAGGAAATGGAACTTTTCCATGGACATTTTAAAAGCCCCCCTGTGGAGTCAGAAGAGGAGGGGACTTATACCTGCATGTCAGCAAAGGGTCTGACACTAGCTTCTTTGCCTCTCACCCCCTCTCCAAACCATAATCAACCACCCAGTGTTTGGGGTGGCTGTAGGGTTCTCGAAACCACCTGTGGTTTCAGAGTAGAACTGAAGTGGTATCCATATCTGGAGGAGCAAAGACGGGCTGGTAGGATTTGACAGGGGAGAGAAGGATGTGCCTAATGAGGGGCAATTAGGGAAAGGTGAAAGAAGGACAGAAGTTAAAAGATAAATTTAAGGAATGGTGGCTAGGATAAAAAATATTCAGATGCTTTGGGCTGAAGTTGGAAAGATGGTGTGATGCCCAGAAAGGCAGCCTGGGATGCTGGGCTTAGGTGGGAGGGAGAGATGTTTTTGTTCAAGGGTAGTGTTGGCACACAGGGTGAATTGGAGTGGACAGAAAATATGAGTGAAAATAGTTAGGCTGCTTTTTGAAGATGAAAAGCTCCTCCTCAAACTTTATGGCTAATAGTTTATCCACAGAATATAATGTTCTTCAAAACTTGGCCTCTCCTTCCCCTCAGGAGTGAGCATTTCTGACCTGTTTTTACCCAGGATTGGCTGCAGTGGCTGCAATTAATGCTGCGATCCAGAAGGGTGTTGCGGAGAAGACTGTGTTGGAGCTAATGAATCCTGAAGCCCAGCTGCCCCAGGTGTATCCATTTGCTGCTGATCTGTATCAGAAAGAACTGGCTACCCTGCAGCAGCAGAGTCCTGAAGTGAGTGATGGAGCCTGTCTTGTGTGTGTGAAAAATGAGGTGGACGTAAACGTAATACCTAATACTTTTCCCCTTCGCTTTTATTTTATTTTGGTGGTGGTGTCATCCCCACTTCTGAAAGCAGCCAGGTAGTCCTTTCTTTCCAAAACCTTCGACTCCATCTGGTGCACCGCAGTGGCTAATCTCCCTGAGTGTTTTCGGCAGGCTCTCCTTACTGTTTGTCCCCTTGCCGTTTCTGTACAGCACAGCCTCACCCATCCTGAGCTGGCTGTCGCCGTGGAGATGTTGTCCTCGGTGGCCCTCATCAACAGGGCCTTGGAATCAGGAGACATGAATACAGTGTGGAAACAGCTGAGCAGTTCCGTCACAGGCCTGACCAACATTGAGGAAGAGAATTGCCAGAGGTGGGAGCCCAGAGTCGGGGGCAGGGAATCCGCCCGAAAGCAGTTTTCTCTTTGATTATCAACACTCTTGTGTATTGTAACTTTAGTTGTTTTTCCAAATTTTTTCCCTACTTTGACTCATTATAGCTTATTATACTGACACATTTAAAGAAAAGGTGGTAATAATTTCTTTTATAAGAATTAATACCAAACAACTTCCAGGAGTTGGAGATTGAAAATATCCCAGAAATCCATCTTCTGGATAGTTCCAACATCTTCTATGCATTTGTTTTATTCCTGTAAACTGGAAAATAGATCTAAATGTGTGTCAGTAGTCAGTATTCAGTATTTTTTTCAAGAAGCATATGGAATCTACTTGTCCCACCATCAGAGATACAGGACTAATCCCTGGATTAGAGAAAGAGCCTGTTCTTCCAATACATGTTTTTCCCTTATTGCCAAAACACAATTTCTTTTTGCATTGCCAGAATGTTCAGTTTTCCATTCACCAGCCCCCTGATATTTTTACTCTGGTTGCTAATCCCGGCGTATACTAGTACTCTCAGTCTGAGCGGAGGGATAACTTGTTGATCTTCTATTCCATTTCCATTCATCGGCTGGGATTCTGGCCTTCTTTTCTTGTCTTTAATGGAATTTGCTTAAGCTGTTACCTTGTTACTTCTTGATACCAGAGGTAGTTTCGAAAGCCTGGGATTTAGATGTGTAATGAGGCTGTTGATACTGTATTTTCACACATTGTTTAAGGTAACGCTCTAGTCCCAAAGCTGGACTCCAGAATGTACCAAACTGTTGGAATACTTTAGCAATCTTTGCTCCTTGCACATTGGCTCCTTAGTCTTCATTGTCTTTTTTGTTGCCGGGTGGGATAGGTATCTCGATGATTTGATGAAGCTGAAAGCTCAGGCACGCGCAGAGAATAATGAATTTGTCACCTGGAATGACATCCAAGCTTGTGTGGACCACGTGAATCTGGTGGTGCAAGAAGAGCATGAGAGTGAGTATTTTATTTCCTGTGACTCTTCCCTCCACTCTCCCCTCACCCACCCACCGACTCAATGTCATAGTTAAAGAAAGATGGTGATTCTATGAACTGGTTCTAAATACTAGTTCTGGAAAGGTTTTGGGTGAGAGATTGTATGTGTGTGTTGATATATAATTCAGAAAGCGAAAGTTGATTATTGCTCTCAGAACACCAGCGAGTTACTATGCTGTACCCAATAAGAACAAAATTTTTCTTGAGGTGTGAATGGTACATCATGTGTTATTTCTAAATGGTGCCTTTATTATTATAACTGGTCAACCTTCACTCAGTGCCATCAAGTCAAAGCTGACTTACAGGGACCCTTTTGGGCAGGATAAAACTGGTAGTTTGTGTTAAGAAAATAAGAGCGACTTCCTGCTTGGGCCCCAGGCCAGGTTCCTGCAGTTAAGTTTAGGAGTTCTTCCTAAAGCAGTACAGCATCAAGACACCTATGAAATGAGCGGTTCTCGTTTTAGTTGTAGTTCCTGAGAGAAATCTTGAACTAGTTCAGTAGAAAGAGCATTGGTTTGGAGTGGAGTTTAACTGGGCTTCGCTCATGGTCTGACTTTTGTTTACTGTGTGCTGTGGAATGAGAAGTTCCTAAGTCTCGTATCTTCTGTCAAACGGTTGGATTTTGTTTGAAATGTGTAAAGGGTGACTTTTTAAGATTCCCAAACTCTTGCCTTCTGTGAGCAAGAATTGGCCCGATGGCACGTTGGAATGTGTATTGTAGGGAGCGGAGCAGCACAATCCTCATCTCTTTAAGTTAAGAGTAATAGAAAGCAAGCAAACAAAAGGACACGAGCTTAGAATAGAAGCCTTTTTTTGTGTGCACAAGAAGCTAGCTTTTGCTGCCTGATATTACAGACTACAAGTTATAGTTGGAATCATGGGGACTCTCAGGAGGATTTATGATTCGCATGTTTAAAGATTGTTTAGTTTATAATTTCTTAATCAAAAATTCCTTTTTTGCTTAGGGATTTTAGCCATTGGTTTAATTAACGAAGCCCTGGATGAAGGGGATGCCCAAAAGACCCTGCAAGCCTTGCAGATTCCTGCGGCCAAGCTTGAGGGAGTGCAGGCAGAAGTGGCCCAGCACTACCAAGACACGCTGATCAGAGCAAAGAGAGAAAAGGCCCAGGTGAGAATCGTCAGAATGTTGCTTTCAGAGAACAAAGACAGTATGTGTTTTCTAGGCACTCTTAGATTCAGAGCACTGTAGTGTCACAAAGAGAAAAGGCAGAGATGCCACCTTCCAAGAACTCATGCTGTTCTGTGTAGTTAAGCTTACAGTTGTGTTAATCTCCAAGCATGAGCCTACTTTTGTCATTTTCACTCAGATTTTTAAAATGCATTATCAACAGCACTGGAGCTGCCTCTTGTCCCTTTCTGTCCTTGTCCAGCCCCTCTCTTTTACCACTGTCCTGATTGCCAACATCACAGCTGGGAGTACAGCTGTTTTTGAACTACGTTTAAGCTAGTGCTTCCCACTTTTGGGAAGTGTTCTTATGAATATTTATTTTTTAATTGTGGATTAAGTGGGGATTCACATATCCCATCATCCTTTTTGCATTCAGAGACTTTATCAAACTTCCCCATGAGTTGCCCTATATCCGTGCCCCGTCCCCCTCTTGCTTTTCCCTTGTCTTTCCTTCATTCAAGTTAACACCTCCTTACTCTCAGCCTATTACATCCTCTTCCTTCCCTCCTTCTTGCACCCCTGATAACCATCTGTGGTTGTTGTTGTTGTGGTATATGAATATTTTTGTCCATGCCTTTTAGTGAAATAAGCATTTCTATTAGATGCATACCTTAGGAGTGGCATTAGTGGGTCAGAGGGAATTCATAGACGTTTAACAGTAGTAGATACTGCCATTCCCCCCCCCCCCCAATAACAGCTTTATTAAGATAAAATTTATATACCATGTAAGTCACCATTTAAAAATATACAAATTAATGGCTTTTAGTATTTTTACAGAGTTGTGCAATCATAACCACAATCAATTTCAAAACATTTTTCTTACCCCCAAATAAACGGGCAGTTGCTCATTTACCCCTGCCACCCTCAACCCTAGGCAACCACAGATGGCCTCTGTGGCTGGCTTCTGGACATTTCAGATAAATGGAGCCATCTGATACCTGCTGTTTTTGTGATTAGCAACTTTCACTTGGTCTAATACCTGCAAGGTATAAAATTCCTTTGTATAAGTATACCACATTTTGTTTTCCTTTCATCTGTTAGTGGATGTTTAGGTTGGCTTCTATTTTTTGGTTATTAGGAATACTGGGAATGCACCTATGAACATTAAGTTTTCGAAAGTGAGTGACACACCTTTCAAAAGTTTATTTGCCTTGCCGCCTGAGCTACAGTGTTGAGGAAATTGACCAAATTTGTACTTGGATCCTGTTGCTGTCTAAGAAGTTGCCTGTATGTAGTAGGCCCCCAAATATTAGTTGCCTAACTATACTTTAAAGGTTCTTGTAGTAGGTGTCAGAAATAAATTCCTAACCCAGCAGTTGAGATGCTTTCTGGGAATAGAGAGCTAGAAAAACAAACCAAGGCCTTGTGTTTTGGACCTTTGTGTGCACTGGTACCCTATGGACACCCTACATTTGGGTTAAAGGTGGAGGAGTTGGGGGTAATCATATTACAATGTTGATAGATCTCCTTTGTAGTTAACATTACCATGTCCTAATCATGTTAATGTGGGGTCTGGTGGCACCAAGTTTCATTTAAGAGGCATATTACCGTGCAGAATGTCACTTGATCCTGTGGAGGGGGGTTGAATCACAACACCTACTTTGTAGCAGTAAACTGAGACTGTGGATCCACTGATTTCATACACACAGGTGAGAAGCAGTTGGGTGGCAGAGAAGCTGGAGGTGGAGTTTGTGTCTCTGATTCATTTTATTGGTTCAGAGCTTCCCAAACTTGTCTGACCAGTAGATCACCTAAAGAGCCATTTTTAAAACACAAGTTCATAAGCTTCAACTCCAGTTCTGCTGGCTCAGAATCTCCAAGGCAGGGCCTGGCTTCAGTGGCGCGTGTAGGCCTTTGGTGATAGTGCTTGCTTTGTTGCTGACAAAGTATGGAGGGAGTCTCTTTCTGACTGTCAGAGGAGTGGGATTTAGGAGAATAAGCTAGGGTTGCAGTCTATTTGAAAAGCAAAGCAGCGTGGGGATAAACTTGTACCTTCATTCACTCAAGTGTAAGGCTATTGGGAGTTAGTGTTTAGAGGATGTGACTAGAGTTTGAAGCATTTCCTTTGCAGTAGAATAACTTCTCAGAGTTGACCAAAGCAGAGGAAGAGGGTGGGGAGAGTAGAGGAAAGCTTGCTGGCCACTGGCAGACCTCGCTGAGTGGGCTGCACATTGGATGGAATTGTATTTTTAGGCATCAGTTTAGCTCTTGAATTCCTCTGAACCATCTTGGGAATAGTTTTAAAAATAATTATGTGAGTACCAAATTTAGCAGGCAAAAGATCTTACATTTGGTCTATAGTTTACCTTTTTTTGGTGATACCTGTTTTCTGTTTTTGTATCAGGGTAAGATTGGTCTTATAGAAGAAGATGAAAAATGTTCTCTCCTCATCAATTTTTTGGAGAAGTACTTGTGAAGGATTCATATTATTTCTTCTCTAAATGTTCAGTAGAATTAGCCAATAAAGCAGTCTGGTCCTGAGTTTTTCTTTGTGAAGTTTTAAAATTAGCCTACCAGTAGTTATAAACAAATACTGATACTCAGCCTCTTTTTTTTTTAAATCATTTTATTAGGGGCTCATACAACTCTTATCACAATCCATACATACATCAATTGTGTAAAGCGCATTTGTACATTCATTGCCCTCATCATTCTCAAAACATTTCTTCTCCACTTAAGCCCCCAGCATTAGGTGCTCATTTTTCCCCTCCCTCTCTGCTCCCCCCCCCTCCCTCATGAGCCCTTGATAATTTATAAATTATTACTTTGTCATATCTTGCCCTGCCCGACGTCTCCCTTCACCCACTTTTCTGTTGTCCGTCCCCCAGGGAGGAGGTCACATATAGTTCCTCGTGATCGGTTCCCTCTTTCCAACCCACTTTCCCTCTACTCTCCCAGTGTCGCCACTCACACCACTGGTCCTGAAGGGATCATCCGCCCTGGACTCCCTGTATTTCCAGTTCCTATGTGTACCAGTGTACATCCTCTGGTCTAGCCAGACTTGCAAGGTAGAATTCGTATTATGATAGTGGGGGCGGGGAGGAAGCATTTAGGAACTAGAGGAAAGTTGTATTTTTCACCGTTGCTACGTCGCACCCTGACTGGCTCATCTCCTCCCCGAGACCCCTTTGCAAGGGGATCTCCAGTGGCCTACTAATGGGCTTTGGATCTCCACTCCTCACTCCCCCATCATTCACTATGGTAAGATTTTTTGTTCTGATGATGCCTTGTACTTGATCCCTTCGACACCTCGTGGTTGCATAGACTGGTGTGCTTCTTCCATGTGGGCTTTGTTGCTTCTGAGCTTGATGGCCGCTTGATTACCTTCAAGCCTTTAAGACCCCAGACGCTATACTTTTTGATAGCCGGGCAGGGGAGATGCCTTCCGTCTGGGTTTCTGTGTCGGACAAATCGGTACTCATGGAGAAGCTGGAGAGCTTCAGGATGCTTCCCAGGGGCAGGTGGGGATGACTGTCTAAGAAGAAGTTTAAGTCTGTTTGCGTCTGCATGTCGAACATCTCAAGGCCTAAGATTCTGAGACATGCACTCTCAAGGACGGCTTGCCTTTTTCAAAAGTTGTGAACCCTGTTGCTGTTGAGCCTATCAGTACAGGTGTCCAGGTGAACTTGGGTAAAAGCCCATCTAACATGTTACAAGAACTTGGGACCCCAGGTCAAAAGAGCAGCATTTCTTCAATCAACATCCAGACAGATCTATCTTATGCCTCACAAAGCCTGCCTGCCACCCAGTGGGCACCCCCGGACTCTGCTGTTTCATCTTGCTCTCAAACGGACTTGACGTTTGGCTCTCAGATGTCACTGCCCATCAGTGTTCAGACACAGACGTTCCTGCCCAGCTCCAAGCTAACGTCATCAATAGCTGCGCAGACCGATGCCTTTATAGATGGATGCTTCCAGTCCGGGGGCATCTCCAGAGAAACCCAGACCGGTGGGATGCCGAGTTCTGTAGACGGCTGTGCCCAGATTGACCAAGCTGTCATGTGTGGAGACATTTCTGAGAGTGTCCACTCATCGTACAGTGTTTCCACAGACAATGTGACAAGTACCAGTTTAGTTGCTCACAGTTTGTTACCTCAGAATGACCCAAAGACGCTCAACCAAGACCTGGAGAAGTCCGCACCAGTGATCAGCTTCGGTGCACAGAGCAGTCTGCTTCCTTCACAGAACATGATGGACAATCAGACCCAAACCATAGACCTGCGGAGCGACCTTGAAAACATCCTGTCGAGTAACCTGCCTGCCCAGACATCGGATAACCGTAGTCTCTTGTCCGACACGAACACTGGGCCTGACGCACAGCTCCCATCCGGCCCAACCCAGAATCCGGGAATCGATTTTGACATTGAAGAGTTTTTCTCGGCCTCAAATATCCAAACGCAAGCGGAAGAGAGCGAACTTGGCAGCATGAACCCAGAGCCAGTTTGGATCCCTGGATATCGAGACACAGATGGACTTTTACTTGCTGATACCTCTGCTCAGTCCTTCAGCTGTAGGGAGAATCCGAACTTCAACTTTAGAATTTTTATTTGGTTCTTTGGCTATAGTATTATTAATATTAATATTAATATTAAATATCATCTTTTCAGTGAGATAGCATTCTAATATATTCCCTTAGGTTCTGATGTGGTTTCTATTGAGTGTGTTGTTTGGGTTTCCTGAGAGATCATTTAATTTTTTTAATATTTTGGTTTAAAACTGGAGAAATATAGCATCAATTCAGCCGTTTCTACATGTACAATTCTGTGCCATTGACAACATTTTTCCAGATGTGCAATCACTCACTGTTCTTTTCCAAATTGTTCCTCCCCATCTAACATAAATTCAGCGCCCTTGAAGTGTCCTGTCTACCCTTTTGAGTTAACTGTTGTCAGCTTGATCCCATAGGCATAGTTCTATAAAAGAGCACAGCGTTCAAGGCAG